AAGGTGTATGCAGTGTGATACACTAGTTGCATTGCTGGACTCAGAAGGGAGTTATTGTTTTGTTTTTTAACCACCTTCCATTATTAGTTTCCACTAATTTCCAATGTTCCATGAGTAAAATCTTCTAGCATTAGAATGGTGCATAAAGGTATTTTGTGCTCTAGTGGGTAAACTTATTTATATACAACTCTGTCTTATGCTGCTAATCTTACTCTGTATGGACAGTGTGGTTGACATCAGTTGGTCGATTTCATTAAATTCATTCACCCATAGCTGCCTTTGACATGAACTGCATGGTGAATAGCCCACACTCTGAATACTGAGAATATTGCCCTGTGACCAGGATACCAGTAAACTAACACACAACAAGCACTGGGTTAAAAATTCTATTAGTATAACTAGGTACACACGACCACAAATTTTAAATCAATAGAGACTGTGTGTAAATTGATTTAATGAACTATCTTAATTGGAAATTGTTTGTCAAATGAACCTACCAAACTGTACAATCATTATGATAAACAATATACCATGACATAATTGAATCATGTCTTCTATCTGTTCCCTTTTGCCTGCCTTTCAACTAATATTAATATAGTATTCTTTTAAGATGTTGTCAATGTAGAAAGGCTGCACAGTAGTATTGATGAATATTTTCCCTGTGTTATTATATAAATGCACATCTTTGTCAAATATATCCATACACTTATCAATGGTAATCCTCAGGGTATATAGTATTGGGACAATTAGCACTACAAATATATAATTTTATTAAATATATTTTCCAAACTATCCCACTTTTGTGAGCAAATTTCATAATTATATCCTATAACACCAGTTACAATTACATACAGTATTTATACCGTCCATCATTTTATCATTCTAAGATTAAAATCTGTCAGGAGAATGACATATACAGCTTACATCAAATTATATTTGCACAGACAAAGCATATATACTCAACTATGGTAGGCGAGCAAGCCCAGGTAATCATCTTTGTTTGCAAAATATCCAGTGTACAGTAATTGCGGCCAATAACTCAGGCAATGCAAAGCAATTACAGTAGACTCTTGTCATGAGGCATGCCAGCTCATTTCCATATAAAATGAAAATGAAATGTAATAGGAGATACCACTGGAACTTGCAACTTGAACCAATTACCTTTCAATGTAAACTCCCCCTTAGTCTTCTAACCAATATTGCATCACTATTAGAAATCTCATTGATATTAACCTGCAATATTATTATGCACTGTAATTACATACAGAGCCTGATGCAAGTCTTGAGTCTCTTGACCCACACCATAGTTTTATTTTTAGTACCGGTATCCAATCAAAATGTGCCAGGAGAAATGTCGATTTCACATAATTTAACAACAAGCTAAATATAGTTACAATCACTAAATCTATAATTATTTAATTATATATAGCATTAATTAACCAAAATATCAAAAAATACATTAAATATGGCATGAATACTCATGCTAGAAATAGCCAATCAGAGTTACAACCATAAAGGCAGTTGTAGGACACAAACGTTTAATAACATGCATGTGTTATGGCAGGAGACAGACATAAACCTCAGTAATAAAATTAACAATGTTTTTATAAATGTGATACAGAACTATGTTCCATTATCTGAAGAAACGGCTGTAATTGTACACAACGATGAAACGCCTATTATTGTGACCGAGTCAACTATAGCTAGAAAATTGCAAGAAATTAATACATCGCGTTCCAGTGGCCCTGACGGTATTTCCAATTGGGTTTTAAAAACCTATTCGGATATTCTCGCCTCACCAGTTGCAAATATAATCAATTCTTCCTTTCAAAGCTGTAAAGTCCCTCAAATTTGGAAGCTGGCCGATGTGGTCCCCTTACCAAAAACATCTACTGTCAAAGACTTGGAAAGGGAATTACGACCTATTTCCTTAACTTCCACTCTATCAAAGATAGCGGAACGTCTTGTAATCGAAAGAGAAGTAAAACCAACTCTGTTAAAGGTTGTTGATCCCCAACAATTTGGCTTTATTCCAAATTCTTCCACTGTACTTGCCTTGATATCGATGCTCCATTGTTGGTTGAGTGCAACAGATGGAAGTGGTTCATCTGTTCGCACTGTATTTCTTGACTATAAAAAAGCATTTGACATGGTGGATCACACCACATTAGTTGCGAAATTATTCAGCCTTGGTATTAAGCCCTGTGTGGTTAACTGGATTATTGACTTTTTACGTAATAGATGGCAAAGGGTCAAACTAAGTGATAATTGTTTCTCAGACTGGCTCCAAGTTCCAGCTGGTGTCCCTCAAGGCACACGACTTGGGCCTTGGCTATTCTTAGCCATGATAAATGACCTTGTGTTACATAATCACCTTTCAGAAATGTGGAAATTTGCCGACGATACTACGGTCTCTGAAATTGTTGAAAAAAACGAACAAAGTACTTTACAAATGGATATCGATAATATTACTACTTGGTCTATGGACAATTCCTTTCAACTAAACCCATTTAAATGCAAAGAAATGGTAATATCCTTTTCACGATTACCACCTGTTTTTGAACCTATACGTATTGGTGACCGAAATTTGGAAAGAGTGACAAGTATCAAATCGCTTGGAGTTATATTAAGAAATGACCTTAAATGGATAGACCATGTAAATTCAATTGTCTCCAAAGCAGCTAAACGTTTATATTTGTTGAGGCAACTCAAACGTGCTGATGTCGCTTCGGCAGATTTGGTCAAATTTTTTTGCAGCTGTATAAGGTCTGTCCTCGAATATGCGTGCCAATTATTCCATAGTTCCCTGCCACGAAATCTTGCAAAAAACATTGAACGTATACAGAAGCGAGCAATGAAAATAATATTCTATGAATTGTCTTACGACGAGGCTCTTAACATCGCTGGTATTTCCACTCTTGAAAACAGACGGGAGTATCTATCCAATAATCTCTTCAACGACATTGTTTTAAATGATGATCATAAACTTGCCAAACTTTTACCATCCAAAGCAGGCAATAGAGAATTACGAAAAGAAAGATCTTTTGAAGTTTTACCAGCAAATACAAATCGTTTCGAAAACTCTTTTATCAACTTTTATGCTAAGAAACATTACAAATTAGATGTTCCTTGAACATTTTAGAATTTTTAACTCATATAGATTAGTACATTTAAGTATATGATATATAGTATATATTAACAATTTTTAAATTGCATTGTAATATAGAATTTTTTACTATTTATAACCTTGTAACACTTAACGTCATGTAATTCAGTCTTCTGACTGCCAGATGATGTTTTTATTAAACAAACTATTCATTCATTCATTCATGTATCAGGTCTTCATTTTTCTTTGCCCGCCAGCTGTGAGAAAAATGAAGGTCTGGGCACAGGTTATAATCCCATGTAAACAGAGATGAAATTTGCCTCACTAAAGCAAGCTGTCAAGTTTGGTATTGGGGCTGGTTTGCCTCCAGACAAGCAAACCTCTCTTACTCGGTAAAGACTGTAAAATGTCAAACTACCTCATCCACCCCCGCCGCCCCCCCCCCTGCTGGTATAAGCAATAGTATTTATAAATAGACACAAACTTTAATTATTTATATGTTAATACAAACAAATCTGCATTAACTGTGGAGCTCATTTTCCACTTTATACACTTCTTAAACTGAACAATGAACTACAATGTAAAATATAGATAAATTTCACTTACTTTAGAGCCCTCAGTTCGAGTTTCACATAGTGCCGATAGTGGGCATCTCACAGTATAATTATACTTCAATTCTTGTACTCAGATGAAAGATTAGATTCATTCTAAGCCTTGGTAATTAATTCGGTAATTTGTTCTCCGTTTTCTCCGTCAATTTCGAGAGATATTTCTTCCCATTAATATTATTTGTCTCATTTGCATTTAGTGTTTGCATATCCTTGCCGCCATGCCATGACTTGAATCGAATGCCTCGTTACGTCACAGTAGATTTTGATTTTGCAATTTGCATCAGTGAACTGATGCGAGCGCCCGCAATCTGCATGCGATGCATCGCTCAGCGGACAAATCTACCGTGACGTAGGGCTCTAAAACAATAGATTTGATGATGTCACAGTAGATTTTACGCGGAAAAGGACTCGGGACCGATGCATTCACTGATGCAAAATGGCTGAAAATCGATGCAAACCAAATCTACCGTGACGTAGGTGATGCATCAGCTTTCTACTGTGACGTCAAAGGATGCGGTAAAAAATAACATATTTTGTCGCGAAATTATTGACGCTTAAGTGTCGCAAAATAAAAAGTAAATAACAAAAAGTACACATTTGCGATCGCACGTCGCATATTGGACTTATTTTGACAATTTCGACTGTTATTGAGACTATTTAAATTGGATTTCATCCTAAATAGTGTATTCCTGACATGGAGTCAAGTTTAAGCAAATATTTGCGGTTTGATAGCTCGAGAGATTCAAAGATATTCTATTACTGAGTGCTTGACCAAGTATAATATGTCTATATATTATTTCACGCAACATGATTTCTCAATTTTGACCGATGCATTCGCATCGTTGGCATCGGTCTGGATCCGCCCCTGTGTACTGGGGCCGGTGGTATCAAACTCGTTTAGCTTAAACAGTGGTTAAGCTCAAAATAGAAAGCAAGTCTATAGATTCATTCAACAACCAAACTAAAAGTTTTGAACCTTAACAGAACGATGTTTACAACTACATATTCAGTGCACAATATTTAAGTTGACTGATTCACAAGAGATATAAGAGTGTTATTTAATTTTGACTTATCCACCGTTTAAGCTAAACTGGCTTGATACAACCTGCCCCTGTAGTACAAGTCCTGTCAGACTTTATAACAAACGTACTTGCAGGAGGTGAGTCCGAGATTGGACGCACCGAGGGTGGCTGGAAGTTTCCCGAACTTACCGAGCGAAGCGAGGTGAGTTCGGGAAACTTCCAGCCACCCGAGGTGCGTCCAATCCCGGACTCACCGAACCTGCAAGTACGTTTGGTTTTTATCCCATACACCGAGGCTGACCGAGCCATACACACATTTGTAGCTCTTCGCGATATATTCGTCGTCTCGTCGATGTTTTGTGAACATTTTCCCGGCCAAAAAAATCACTGGGCAAGAAAATACTTCTTTATCTACGTCTACATTACCTTTACTGCATTTTTTCTTTGGTTTTTCTTCAGTCTCAGTATGTTAGTCACCGAAAATAGTTCTTTAAAGTTTAGGTTTATCGGCTAAATCTTGTCCGCCATATTTGTTATTGTTATTGCAACGTAAGCAGTTTAGCGGGTGAGTTCGGGCGAAAAGCAGGTGAGCTCGGCAAAAAGCAGGTGAGCTCGACGACAAGCTCACCTGCTCTAAACCAATCAGAAAGCCGCTTTTAACACAGGTATGGGATAAGAATTGTAATTTATCTTGTTATATCAAGCATGTAACGGACTGTTACATGCTTGATATAACAAGATTGTTGCAACCTTGTGTTGACAACCTTGTAACATCCTTGTTATATCATGGCTGTAACAAACTTGTTAACACAGTCTTGTAACAAGTCTGATAATGCAGTGCGAACACAATTTGTTGACAGCTTGTGAACAGACTTGTAACAACTTGTTTGCAGACTTGTTACAACTTGTGCGTTTTTACGTGTGTAGTACACACGCAAAAATCTCACATCTCAGTTGTAGCAAGTCTGCCAACAAGCCGTCAACAAGTTGTCTTCGCACTGCTTGTCACAAGTTGCCAACAGGTTTGGAACAAGCTGTTAACAATTTGTAAGAACCTTGTTGATATTATCAGGCTTGTTACAAGGTTGTTCCAACAAGTCCGATACAGTCCTGATATAGCAGTATTGTTACAACCTTGTGTCGTCAACCTTGTAACATTTTTGTTTATCATGACTGTATCAGACTTGTTAGAAAAACCTTGTGACAAGTCTGATAATGCCATCAAGCTTGTTACAAGTTGTTAACAGCTTGTTCCAAACTTGTTACAACAACTGGGAACAAGCAGTACGAAAACAACTTGTTGACAGCTTGTGAACAGATTTGCAACAAATTGTTTGCAAACTTGTAACAACTTGTGCGTTTTTACGTGTGTAATTTAAACTTTCGCTTTAAGTAACTGCTGTGTTTAATTTAACGTTTTGACAGTAAAATATTTCTTGTATTTACGTTCATTTCGACGGTCTCGGGTCCACGAAACACACTGTTTCCCTCGGTCTCAGTAAATAAGTGATAATTATTGTTATGACTGGTAAATTGAATAAGTAAAATACTTTGTTAATGTTATGTAAAATTTCAATTTTCCATGACTTTCCATGACTGAGATTGATTTTCCAGGATTTCCAGGCCTGGATTTTGGAATATTGAAATTCCACGACTTTCCAGGTTTTCCAGGACCCGTACGAACCCTGAGGGAAGCATTAGTGAAGTCTAAAGTTCATCAATGATCGCGGGCGTGGGTCACCAAGCGTGGACCGTGGGTGGTCATCCTCACTGATCTCAAAAATAAGGCTTTTTGCCAGGAGTGGGATAAACAAGAATTCAATTTTCAAAAGCAAAAATTTGTTGCTTTAATTTATTGCGTAAAACATGCACTGCTTTCCTTTTCAATGAAGTTGTATTAAAGTTTGCTAAATTACCATGTTCAATTTAATTAAGAAAAAAGGTAAAATGTCAAGGAGAGCAAATTAATTTGAAAACCGAACTGAAATTACTCAACAATTTGAACATTTGAAAATATTTTACGAAGCGATTCAGGTTAAATTTTACATTACAGTGCGTCCACTGTAAGTGGGGCCACTAACGCCACTTAGATAACACTAACCAATCACATTGCAGAACAAAAATAGAAATCTAATCAAACTACAGCTCGTCCAATCAAATTAAAGAAAGCATGGAATTCGCTTCAGGAAGCCAGTAACTGCTGTGGTTAACGGGATAAAAAATTATGAAATTGTTTGCTGATTGCGGTAGTCCTGCACTGGTACAAATTCACTCTAGTTGTGTTTTTAAGGTATTGATGATTTTATATATAAAATAGAAATATAAAAATCCTGTCATACTGTATTATACCTAAATTTAATATATAAAATACAGTCATCTATGATGTGATTGATATATTTTGCTTAAAATTGTTGTGATACAGCTGTATTAGACGTATTGTTATTTCATATCATGTAGTTCTTCGACCCTAATGATCCACGGGAAGGAGGTAACAAAGTATATAACAATGTTGTGGGGAGTTTGATATTTCAACATCACCAACATCCCAAGCAATCCCACCATGTGGCCCAGATAGTCAAGATGATGAGACGGACAGTGTACTTCCACCAATAGATTTACATCAGCCAACTGATTGTACTTGTTTTAATTTACCAATAAATCCTGTTTGCCTTGACGGACATTCATACACACCGAATAATGGAAGAAGCGCCCAGTGGTAGCAGTGTTGATGATGAACCTGAAGGAGGGGCAGCGAATGTAGAGAATGAAATGGAGGAAATTCAGCATTTACATTGACTACTGTGTAACGCATTGCATTTTACTCTGCCTAACGCCAGATTATTTTACTCTGTCTAACACTAGACTATTTACTCATCAGGGGGAGAGTGCTGCCACTCAATGGGTTAAAAAGCATTCAAGCAAAATGTTTGGCAGAAGCTGCAACATTGTATATTGGTGTCTGGTGTGATACTGACATTTCTTTTATTTGTAAGGATAGAGTTGGGGAGCTTCTAGTGTTATACAGTGTGTCTCAAAAAAATGTTACTCTGACTAAAATACAAATATAATCATGCTTCAGTAAAATATTTTCAAAGTGATGTATTAGATAAATGAATTGTTGTGTTGACTAGCTTTCCTGTTAATTTCAGGAAACTTTCACTAATGCAACATAAAATAAGAGCTGTTTTATTGTAACAGCCGTTTATCTCAATTTCCCAAATTTATGTAAATTAATTTATCACACAACGTGCTATGTCTCACGTAAAATGTCAAAAGACTTATCGTCCTTCGATGTGTGCGCCATTTCGTTCGATGCATAAGCGAGCACGAATTTTCATATTCAGCACGACTCGGCGAACCATGTCCCGCGGCAGTGAATGCACTTCTGCAGTGATTCCGTGTTGCGGAGGTCCTCCAAATTCTGTGGAGGTGTTTGATACACGCGTGATTTGAGATACCCCCACAAAAAAAAGTCGCAAGGGGTAAGATCAGGAGACCTAGGAGGCCATTCTCTTGGTTGTCCAAAGGCAATGACTCTGTTTCTGAAAAGTTCCTGTAGCCGGTGTCGTCTTCCAGAATGTCCAACATTTCTGTTTAGACTTGTCCCATGTGTTGAATACTTAGCAAAATTCCTTAAAATCGTCCTGGTGCATGGAGGCTGCCGGTCCGGAAACCTCTCTTCAAAACGCTCAATTACCCGCCCTGGACTTCTTGTCTTATTGTACTCTAGCACCAAAAATGTGTGTTGCTCGGTTGTGAATTGCACACCAACCATGTTGTATTTAAATCAAGTAATTGCGCGATATTGAATATTTGACAGAGTTTATTCGAATGCATTCCTTTTAATACATTTGGGATTTCATAAAATTTTCTCACCAATTAGAAACGTTTATTACATCGTCGTTCATTGCAGAAAACACCTGAAATTAACAGGAGTGCTAGCCAACATTCTTCACTTTTAGTTTCATCAACAATTGCGATTGTATCTCTATTAACAACATTTCATTTTAGTCAGAGTGACATTTTTTTTGAGACGCACTGTAGTCTTGGCCCCACTCCCGTTTTCCTGTACTGCATGTGTTTTCCTCACTTCCCTGATTGTAGCATAAGTGTTAATTGGTATACCTGCATGGACACCATCTTATCAGTTCAGCAGTTTTTTGACAATCTATGTATGGTTTTCATGATTTCAGTGTATAGTCTTCCCCAACCTTGTACCCAGGGTTCTCTTTTTACAAAACGAACCCTGGATAATGAGGTTGAGTCTTCCCTTGCTCATCACAAATTAATAAAAAGATCACACACTACATAATTGATGTTCATAAAATTTATTTATTTTAATTAAAATCGAAAAATTTTAACATAACAATTAAAATGTTTTTAAGTTAAAAAAAATTTTATGTGCACAAATAAAGAGACGTTTTTTAAAATGTCACATTACATTCATTTCACCATTACACATGAATATTATATGATTAAGTATTGTATTTGTATTTCAAAATCTTTACAGAGGGTAAACATTTCTCAGTAATCTACTGTTATCAATATGTGTCCTATCAGTAATTACTGCTATCAATATTGTTCTATTATCAATATGAAAGGTGATGCTTTTGCTCTAGCTTAATGATGTATTAAAACAATCTAGAGGTATTACATAATTGGTAAACCTCTTCAACTGAGTGCAATCATTGCATGATTATCTGCAACAGATATGAATTCAATGAATGCTTTATCTTCCTCAAATGTCCATTTATGAAGTTTTACTAGGAATTTCTTTGGTGGAGTGACTTTAATCTTTCTGATAGGAAACTACAAAACAAACGGCAAAAGTGAGAGTGGCAATGTCAGTGCCAGCACCATTACACAACAACAAAGAAACTCATGGATTTTTACCAGGTTTTTGGGCATGCTTCTCCAGGAAATTTGTGCACTATAGGTTTTCTGAAATGCCACTCCCAGCATTGAAAAATATCATTGGCGTACGGGTGGGCAGAAATTGCCCGACATTGTCATGAGATAGAATGGAATGATAACTCCTATGCAAACTTGCAGAAATACTGTTTAAAGTCAATCTTAAAACAATTGCCCAATTTTTAAAGCAGAATTCTGCCCATGCACTAAACACTGACTTGAGGGTTGCAACTCTAAGCCTCGTACAACTATGGACAGAAATTCTCACAGGCCAAAAAGCATTAGAATACAATGTTACTATTACAATGCACCCCCTCCCCCTATAACATCTCACTGTCTCATTAACCCATTGAGTGGCAGCACTCTCCACCTGAGGAGTAAAATCGTCTGGTGTTAGACAGAGTAAAATACTAAAGTAGGGTGCATCAGGGCGCATTGCCACTTAAAAGGTTTAAAATACAATGTTTTTGTACAGTCGTACTGTATTTTATATTTGTAAAAACCTTTGTACTTTTATACCTTTGGTGATGTTCCAGGACTCTAAAACAAAGTTTGACTTGATGTTGAATTCTTCAAACGTGAAATTCTGTGTCTCTGACTCTTATTATTAAGTTTCTCTGGGGTATCACCTTTAGAAGTATATACTCCAAAATAGCCGAATTCTATAATAAAATGAAAAAATACAGTCAGTGCAGCATAAGCACATCTAATCTAAAAAGTTACTTCAAAAACTCATTAATAATTCATGAAGCAATTATCCAATCTTGAGTAAGAAATTAGTCACGTGTATACGTCTTTATACCAGCTAAAGAACAAAAGACCATTGTCATGCAAACTATATAAAGATTTGTATATAAGGGTTTTTATATAAAGATTTTTATATAAAGATTTGACTTATTATGCAAACGTTTTTGAAGCCATTTAAAAAACTCGCAGGTCGTGTTTTATTAGGTCTAAAGCCACTCGCGCTGCGCGCTCGTGGCTTTAAACCTAATAAAACACTCCTGCTCGTTTTTTAAATAGTACTTTAAACTGGCATAGTACAAAACATGGACTGGACTGGATTGCATGGACTGGACAGTTGGACTGGACTGGACAGTTGGACTGGACAGTTGGACTGGACTGATTTTTACATTTTCTCTATTTTTGACTTGCACAAAAGAATATTTCATCACAGAATAGATATACCATGTCAAGTCTATTTTGTGATTTTATCAATGAATATTGTCTGATGTGACAGGAGTAGATTCAGGTTGCAGTCAAGAATATAGCGTTTTGCACCTGAATTACTTTTGATTTTCGGAAGTTGAAATACTTTACCTTCGCCGATGACTTCACTTTATAACTGGAGCGAATTCTCTTAAAGCGAAACAAAGCCTAGTATTAAAGTAGAATACAATAGCAAACAAAAACTACTTATTTACTGAGACTTTGAGAAAGCAGTGTGTTTTGTAGACCCTCGACCGTCGATGTTTCCCGGTTCGGCTTCGCCTCGGGAAACATCGTGACAGTCTCGGGTCCACAAAACACACTGTTTCCCTCGGTCTCAGTAAATAAGTGATACATGTTTCAGTCTGCATAGCCATAGGAAGGTCGATAATTAGGGGGGGGGGCTCATATTCATGTATTCATGTTCGCAGACCGTAAAAACAATCAATTTCAAAAGAAGTGAATAATGCAAAACACGAATATATGAATATGAGCTCCCCAATTATCGATCTTCTAATCGATCTTCCTACGCCTGTGTCAGTCTGCGAGCAGTCAACCATATATCATTGTGGCTATAATAATATTGCAAAATAAACTAATGGTAATACATCTGGGGCCAGTTGCTCAAAGGTGGGTTAGCGCTAACCCTGCATGTGGGTTAAATTTTGACCTGCTGTTTTGGTTTGTAGCTTTCTGCACGAACGTTTATTTCACAACTTCAGAGAAGTAACTGACTCCTATCGATCCAGACAAGATCTCTGAAGAAATATTTCCAAATTTATAGACAAGCTGTCAGGAAGTTTCCTTTGAATTTTACGTTAACCTAGGGTTAAGCTAACCCAGCTTCATACATTTTAAGCCTGGTTCACATATATGCCTGCGACGTACCGGCGACGATGCCGATGGTAGCTTAAAACGTAAATTATGTGAATATTTGTTCGCCGATTGCCTCCAGTGCCACAGTTACATCGGCGGTAGGCCGGGAAAGTTGAGTTGAGTTCAACTTTGCCGGTATTTCGGCGGCAAGTAGAGGCATAATGATACAGTCGCAGGCATACCGCAGGCATATGTGAACCAGGCTTTAGACATTTTTACATCAAAAAGCAGTTTAAATTACAAATCAGTTTGTCGATTGCATTCATAAGCAGAATGTAAAATTTATCAATTCAAATATTATGTTACCAGAGATTTTCCAGGCGGAAAACGAATTCTTATGATAAATATGAGAGCCCAACATATAACTTTTAACAAAGCCATTAAAACAGTTAAGATTCTACAATAAAAATTCTTTAAAATCTTAACTGTTTTAATGGCTTTGTTAAAAGTTATATGTTGGGCTCTCATATTTATCATAAGAATTCGTTTTCCGCCTGGAAAATCTCTGGTAACATTTATTCTACTTAAACAAACAATATAATAATATATTTGAATTGATAAATATTACATTCTGCTTATGAATGCATTCGACAAACTGATTTGTAATTTAAACTGCTGTTTGATGTAAAAATGTCTAAAATGTATGAAGCTGGGTTAGCTTAACCCTAGGTTAACGTAAAATTCAAAGGAAACTTCCTGACAGCTTGTCTATAAACTTTTGGAAATATTTCTTCAGAGATCTTGTCTGGATCAATAGGAGTTTACTTCTCTGAAGTTGTGAAATAAACGTACGTGCAGAAAGATACAAACCAAAATAGCAGGTCAAAATTTAACCCAGGGTTAGCCCTAACCACCTTTGAGCAACTGGCCACAGATGTATTACCATTAGTTCATTTTCCAATATTATTATAGCCACAATGATATATGGTTGACTGCTCGCAGACTGACACAGGCGTAGGAAGATCGATAATTGGGGAGCTCATATTCATATATTCGTGTTTTGCATTATTCACTTCTTTTGAAATTGATTGTTTTTACGGTCTGCGAACATGAATACATGAATATGAGCCCCCCCCCTAATTATCGATCATCCTATGGCCATGCAGACTGAAATATTTATCACTTATTTACTGAGACCGAGGGAAACAGTGTGTTTTGTGGACCCGAGACTGTCACGATGTTTCCCGAGGCGAAGCCGAGCCGGGAAACATCGACGTGCAAAACGCTATATTCTTGACTGCAACCAATCTACTCCTGTCACATCAGACAATGTTCATTGATAAAATCACAAAATAGACTTGACATGGTATATTTATTCTGTGATGAAATATTCTTTTGTGCAAGTCAAAAATAGAGAAAATGTAAAAATCAGTCCAGTCCAACTGTCCAGTCCAGTCCAGTCCAACTGTCCAGTCCAACTGTCCAGTCCAGTCCAGTCCATGTTTTGTACTATGCCCTTTAAACTTAAAATAAGTAGGAACATAATTATATGTGTATGTTTCAAAAAAATCATGGAAAATAGCTAGGAAAATAGCGATTTGTACAATAGTTTCCTTCGCGCCATGATGACTATCACGCGATCTATTCCCGCCATCGGCGATAGAATATAGCAAAAGTATTTGGATGTTAGGGTTTGTAATCCAAGTGAGAATATATACATTTTAAGACCTAACCAGGAACGACTGCGAAAAATGCAGCACAAAGTCCTCTGGTAGGAATTGAACCTACGGCCCTGCGATTCCATCCTAATATTAATCCCACCAAGTGACGTGCAAGAATCTAAGTCATTCAAGTCCACCTATAGCAAAAGTACCCCATTTTCAAACCGCGATTACTAGTCAATTTCGTCGAGCTACTTTAAGTTTTAAAGTAATTGAAAGAACAAACTTTCCTTAATTCGATTACGTGTTTTATTTTAATTTCCCCCTCAAAAAATGAATATAGCTTTTTCATTTTTTGAAAGCCACTTTTGTGGCGTGTCCACTGACCCGAATCAAGCATAATTACAAGGCGTAATTAACATAACTAAAAAACAATTCCTGTACTAAACAAGTCAAAAATAGTTTAATTAGGTTCTTAAATAATACAAATATAAAAACATACCTTTGAAAAAACGAGGTATACGGAGCCAAAATCGCAATGTATTTCAACAACTTTTCGCCAAATGTTCGTTGAAAATCGTAATTGTGAATAATAATGAGATGCAATGCATTGTGGGAAATCCTCATTCCTCCTCTGCCCAAGACATATAAAAGACTCACGACAGAATATAATAAAATATACTTGCCGCAAAGGCAATTTTCTGAGTTTAATGGCCTAATAAGTAAAAACCCATCATGCCTTGCGCGCTCAGAGTTTAAGGTTTTGGAAGGACAACCAGAACTTAATGGACCTTTCCCCTTATAACAAAAATTTTGATCTAGACAAAAATTTCATCACAACTTGGAAGAGCATCACAAAATTAGTAATATTCCGAAGTTTCGTTGCGAAATGTTGTAAAATGCGGATAATATAGGAGGGTCTGAATGGGGTTAACTGACTAGTGACAATTGCCTGAATTTTTGACTGACAACTGACAAAATATCCTAACTGACAACTGAGAAATGATGAAAAAATGATGAGTCAGCTTTTTTGCAGTAACTGACTACTGACAGCTTGCAATATATCGCACTGACAACTGACAACTGGCTTAAATTTTAGCTGACAACTGACACCCAAAGACCCCCATTAAGACCCTCATATAGCCTTGTTCAGTTTGCCGTTTTTCAGTCATTTTGTATTATAAACGGGAAATTGACAGTCCAATCGGGTGTTGGGGCATCAAATTCCCGTTTGTAATCTAAAATGACTGAAAATTGCAAATTTCACAGGGCTATATTATCCGCATTTTACAACATTTCGCAACGAAACTTTGGAATATTACTAATTTTGTGATGCTCTTTCAAGCTGTGATGAAATTTTTGTCTCGACTTGTCTAGATCAAAATTTTAGTTATAAGGGGAAAGGTCCATTGAATCAGCTGTAAAATTGGCTTGGAAGTTCACCTCAAAATCGCCGCTGTGAAATTTGAATTTTTGTGGAAATTTCATTTCACTGAGTGGAAACTTAAGAAATTTCTATTTCACTACCATCTAGCGCATTGTTATAATTGTTTTCGATTCTTCGAGAACATATTTCAATTTTTTGTTTTGCTTCAGCATTGTATTATGTTTATATGATTGCATCAACCATATTAAGAAATGTGCAGATAAAAAGCATCCTTATATTGCTGTGTAAGTGCCTGTATTAAACTTGCTAGAATGCTTTATCTATGGGTTCAACGATACAAATGAATATACCACTTTCAAAATGGACACTACTCGTTGTATTTATTCTGACCATCGTTTTAATGTGTGCAAAAATTTTTAAAATCTGGCCATGGAGAAGAGATATTCAACGTCCAGTTTCCGTCAGAGACTTCTCCTTGAAGTGGACAGACGGTGTAGTGTACTATCGAGAAATTATTCCTAAAGGTAAAGCAAAGCTTGATGTCCTTCTATTGCATGGTATGAGTTTTACATCGAGGAACTGGTTGGAATTAAATACAATGAATCTCTTGGCATCCTATGGATATCATGTTATTGCTTTGGACTTACCAGGTTATGGAAAGTCATCTTATAAACTGGATACAACTCAAACGAGTAGAAGTGAGTTTTTATGGCAGTTTATTAAGAAGACCGGATTTGATTCGCCTGTGATTGTTTCCCCTTCAATGAGTGGTATTTTCAGTTTGTCTTACATTGCGGCTTTAAAACCGGTAAAAGGATTTGTTGCTATTGCTGTGGTGGGCACAGACAAGATTCCAGTTAAAGATTATGCACATTTCCCACCAACCTTGATTGTGCGAGGTTCAAGGGATAAAGGTCTTGGTGTAACATCAACAGATATACTCAGTAAAAATGTGCCAGATAGTTCAGTGGAAGTGATTAATGATGCTGGTCATGCTTGCTACCTTGACAAACCTGAGGAATTCCATGCTATGTTATCGAGATTCTTACAACTCATTAGTAGCCAGTAAGCATAGTGTATGCTTGTTTCTGTTATTTAGGCGTAAAAAAAAATACCTGTGGTTCTGGTTCCCGACCGACCCTATTTTTTTCTGCCGACCCTATTATTTTTTCAACGCGATTGACTGTGCAACCCTATTTTCTCCGGGTGGTTGTGGGCTGCTCAAACAGCGTGCCAAAATGGCGTCTGTTGTCATACTAATTATTGAACCAAATTGCCTAAATTCGTCCATAGGAAATACGCATCTCTAGTTAATATTGATGTCGGGACTCTACTGCAAATCGCCCAGCAAAAAACCGCCAAAATCATGAAAAAAATATTCAAAAAAAAAAATTATTTCCGACCTACAGACCCTAATTTTTTCACGATATGAAACCGGAACCACAGGTTTTTTTTTACGCCTTATGTAGCTTCGATCAGGCCTTTATGTTTCTCATGGCAGGCAGGCAAAGAAATATCAAGGCTTGACAAAATGTTAATTATTACAAGTTTCTGCAATACAACCTGATTTTGGTTGTAGCTCTGATTGGCTATTTATAACATGAGTATCTGACCATATTTAATGTATTGTTTTGATTGGTTATTTGTAGACCAGGGGTGGATCCAGAAGGGTTTTCTAGGGGGTGCCGGGTGAGCAGACAAGTGTTTCTTTATAATTCTTTAGGGGGTGGTGGGAGTGCATTCAAAAGAATTGGCTTCCTAACAACTTGAGCACTGAAGGCGCAAGCTCCCTAGGGGGTCCAGGAGTTTGCCTGCCCGGAAAATTTTTGAAAAATTTATAGAACCCTAGAAATGCCATTTCCTGCGATATGGGCATTGGATTATGAGCTTCAGTTGACTTCAAAAAAGGAAAAACCTTGGATATTGTGCCATATTTCTGAATTTGATTTTTTTGCACCCCTGTTGACCAAGGACAACAGGGGTGCGCACCCCTGTGCACCCCCTATAAATCCACCCCTGAATTAGACAGTGATATATTTAGTAGTTGTAACTATAACTAGATTGCTTTTATATGTAATTGACATTTCTCCTGGGACATTTTGATTGGATCCAAAAGATAAAACTACACTGCGGGTGAAAAACAACCCAATCAAGGCTTACTGCAGGTTAAAGTCATTATTATTCATGTAGTTCAGGTGCAGCTAGATTGTACCTGTAAAAAGGCCCCAGCTAGCCCTCTCTAGCCAGATAATGTTTTTCAACATTGGTAAAATGTGTTAAACACTGGGATGCTATGGCTATGGCATATAAACAATTAATAATAATGTAAATAACAGTAAATATTAAAAAGCTTGAAAAAACAACCATATGATGGGTAGCAGTATCCAGCTTTTACACAATTGCCCATGGTAATGCCACCTACTCTACAGTAGCTATTTTATTGAACAACAGACAGGGTGCATAAGATTGTGCTTTGGCTAGATACTGGCTATGATGGATAGTTAAAGTACAGTGCAACCACATGACCTGGCCAAAAATATTCACGTGGGTGCACCAAGTTTCATTGAATTTTATTACATTATCACCGAGATATCAGACTTTCTTGTTATTGCCACTATTTCAAGTCAAACCTGTGACGTCATAACTCAAAATATGGAAAGTGCAATAACTTGAGAATGAGATGAGATATGAAAAAACTGTAAACGTCATTCTTCATCACTCTATCAGTACTTTGTAGAAAGACAATAAAAATGATGAGGTGAAAATTTCGTTTCATGAACACTTTATCAGATCAGTTTGTTACAGATTTTTGCACTGTGATTACAAAAAATTGCACTGTGATTACAAATTTTGCGCTGCTGTTTGAGATTAACTGCACTGAAATCAACCAATCAGAGTGGAGTAATATTTTTGCATCTACTGATTTTCAATCAGTAGCTGCATTGTCAGGACGTAGGTAGGCATATGTCGGGAAAAGCACATTTGATGACAGATTGATGACGTATCGATGTAATGCATTGCGAGCATAGGGCGAAAGTCGGTTATCTACGGTTAGTTCCGCTGTTGTCCATAAATGGTTTTGTCTATAACATGAGTACTCAATAAAATGGTTTTGTCTATAATACGAGCGGAGTGCAATACGAAGCCGAGATGCCGTATAACTGCGCGAGACAATGACGACTGTTGAACTTTTCTGTCTTACACCGCAAGACAGTTGCGCTTCGTGGGGACTGTATACTATCAGAACAATACCTCGGAAATAGAACACACACGCGTACTTTAAAACATATTTATTTAAACTATTCAAACGATAAATACACTAACATAACAATCCTTCTGGTTTTCTCTCGTGCTTTCAGTCTGACAATCAATTCGAAGTATATTATTTATGATATACGATACATTTCTTACGTCAACTAAATCACCCATTGTTTGGTCTCCTACGGCGTTATCAATAGTATAATGTTACAAATTATTGTACACACTCCCCCCTTTGAGCCTATAAGGGTCAAACATGATTTGTGTTCTCCAACGTGCATCCAAAGCTGCTGCTCTCCTAGGTCTATTACTATGGACACAGCTTTCCACCTTACCCTTACCTTATGTTGTACTAATTTGGCAAAATTAATGAATTGTTTCTTGCATCTTCGACAAATGTGTTTTCCGGTGACGTCATCCTTGAAGAAATGTTCCTGTAAGTCTTGAGATTGATTAATTTCTCTATGACAAGATTTGCACAGTAAGTGTGCCTTCTTGTGGCGTTCAAGATGAGTTCGTTGTATAAAAGTCTTTTTGCAAATATTACATTCATGAGGTCTGTCTCCAGTGTGTAACCTACCGCAAATATCACATACATACGGTTTGTCTAGAGTGTGTGTTATTTTATGTGTTTTTAAGCTACTTAAAAGGGAAAATCTCTTGTTGCAAATATCACATTCAAAGGGTTTGTTTCCAGTGTGTATTCTTTTATGAGTTTTTAAGTTGCTTAAATGGGAAAATCTCTTCTTGCAAACATCACATTCATAAGGTTGGCCAAATCACTTGATTGAGAAAATTTCTTCTTGCAAACATCGCATTCAAACCACTTGTCTCCAGTGTGTATATTTCTTTTGTGTCTTTTAAGTTTCCTAATAGCGAAAATTTCTTCTTGCAAACATCACATTCATAAGGTTTGTCTCCAGTGTGTACTCTTTTATGTGTTTTTAAGGTGACTAATACGGAAAATGTCTTGTAACAAACATCACATTTATAAGGTTTGCTCGCAGTGTGGGTTCTGTTATGTCTTCTCAAATCACTTGACTGAGAAAATCTCTTGTTGCAAACATCACATTCAAAAGGTTTATCTGCAGTATGCGTTATTTTATGCGTTGCTAAGTTACCTTTTTGGGAGAACCTTCTCTTGCAGAGATGACATTCATACGGTTTGTGTATACTTTCGTCTTTTGCCAAGACCAAGCTGCTCGATGTTGAAAACATATCCTCACAATGATCAGAAAATTCAGTAGCTGTACTTACAAATGCAACAAATTATGCACCTATCAATGTAAATCCCGTGGGGGGGGGGAAGGCCGGGACTAGGGAGGGGATTTGACAAAAATATGAGAAAACTAATCAAATGCCCGCAGGGGGGATGAAAATTCCGGTCAAATAAAGGTAACTTTCCCCACCCACGGGAGAAGAGCCACATATTTTAAGCTTTTTAAAAATACTAATTTACTAATAAACATCGAGCAAAGCAAAGAAAAATGATTTTTAATAATATGAATTGACATGAACATATTAACGGCCCGTTCACACTGGAGGCGATGCTACAACGCTACGCTATTTTCTAATTTTCATAAACAAAATATCTTTGATCCTGGTTTAAGTTTTTCAAATATTCATAAGCGCTGTAACAATTTGAGTTTGTTGGGCCCGTTTACACTCGTCACGAGATCGTCGTTTGTCGTTTGGAGACAAAAACCTGACTGCAAAGATTCACTGCTTGATAGTTTAGTTTAGTTCGTCGCTTTAATACCATATAGAATCTTGAGGTATATTGCCTTGATCGACTGATAAATAAGATGCATGTCGTGACATGCGAATCCGACATAGTGTAAACGAGGTCTTAAAGTTTCCTTTGATAGACGTTGCTACAGTATTTACTTTTTATAGAATCTTAAAAATCGCGTCGCGTTGCCGCATCGCGTCCGGTGTGAACGGAACTTAAGTCATAATTAACATTTCAAAATGCAGGTTTAATATAAATCTTATCGTATGAGTTCTCATAACATTTAAAACACTGTTAATGGTTTGGAATTTCAAGTTCAGTCTCAATAGCAACACACACAAAGTGACATGTTTAATAAAAATCTTATTCTGAGTTCATCTAATCTATTCCCACTCTCAGAACATTTAAAACACTGCCAATGATTTGGAATTTCAAGTTCAGTCTCAATACCAACACACACAATGTGGCTCCACTGTGAACAACCGTCGCAACAAACCCAAGGAACTATTTCTTCACCCCCCTCAGCCGGGTCTTCTAACTTACAAACATCGCACACCTCGGAGTCATCTCCATTCGGTAAATCTATCAGTTTCTTTGATGCTTCCTTTCTTGCTCTACGTGTTTCGGCTGCTTTCTCTGCACCTTTCTTTCTATTTATACTGCAATTGTGTTCAAATGACTGAGCCACATAGTTACTTCTTCAGGAGAGTTCAAAGTTTGTTTAGCAAGATCTTGTACACAATTATCATCAAGTATCCCGTGCATGGAAAGGGTTCTTTTCGATGTTTGTCATATTCTGCTAAAATAACTTCTGATGGCAGGCAACATTTCACATCACTTACTTCGGA